TCGACAGTACAATGATTATCTTAATCACCGATAAACATGATTTGATCTTCAACAATAAATAAATTTGAAAGATCTAAGAGTCAATTTGAATAATTTTCTTGTCTATTATCTCCAGTGATGGTCAACTCAACTTGTTTCCATTGTGCGCCTAAATACAAAAAAAAGATCCAAAAAACAAATTTTTTAATGTATTATTTCTAGAAATCAAAATGAAACAATATAGAAGATTCTCTGTGACAAAAACTTGCTACATTAATTCATTCATGTGAACAATAAACGAGTGCATTTCATATCTATTGAAAATTTCCTTGAAAATAATAAAAAGAATTAAGCTCTATAACTATATTTATCAAATACGATGTTGCATCGAATTTTTCATAACTACGTATATACATATATACCTTTGGACAAGTAAGCTGACTCGAAGATGAAAATGAACTAAAAAAAGAGAATACTTATGTACCTTCTTCAACCATTACATTTGTATATATATATACCGTGATATAATTCATAGTTATCAATTAGTATTATTATATTTCTTATTCGAGTTCTCATTCTTCGCCAAGAAAATTTTCACCAATTGACTAAAGTTCAAGAAATCTACTGAGAAAACTCTGATTCATCATAGTTCTATTGGCTAATATAAATAAATAATTTTGTTATAAAATGTAGAAATAATAATTATTAATTAATTATTCATCACTTCATCTAGAAATCTATATATTCCGTATTAATCATATTATAAGACAATTATATACAACGAAAAGTCAAAAGAAAAAAAAATAAAGTTTATCAATTAATGCTTATAAACGTGTTTGTAGTTCATTTAAAATTTATTGTCGTTCGCATATTATTAACAAATTTTTCTTGATCATAATCAATTGTATCTTCTACTTGTTTAAAAAAAAAAAGATTCGATTGATAATGAAGATATTCATCGAGTAAGAACTGTTAGAATAATTCAGTAATCAGTTTATCTTGAAAATATTGTTCGGTTATGTTTTCAAGATGAGAAAATAAATGTACATTATATCAAATAATGTTAAACCAAATATCGATGCAATTATAAAAAAAACTTTTCCAACCAGAGAATCATATATTTATGTTTACGGATTATTATTGCAAGTAAGATTGAAACTATATCAACTGATGTGTTACAGATACTAGCACATAAGGTGCACCGAATCCAATAGAACCACAAAAAACAGAACAGATATTGAGCAGAAAGAAAATTAGAAAATATTTATCAGGTGCTTGACTTTTGAAGATGTAGTGTTTTTGTTAGAGCTTTAATATGTATGAGAAGATTGTATAAACTAATGAAAGCAGCAAGTATCATAAGTATCACTTTTGGTCGTATATAGTAACTACTAAAAACTGAGATAAAAACAAAAAATTTATATAATTCAAATTGATATTTCTTTCTTTGTTTTTCACGCAACTGTTTCTTCTGTCTATACCCTTGAAATCTATGTGCTCATCATAAGATAATAAAATTTAAGAATTATTTATTTTTAACTTCAAATCTTTTCATAATAAAAATATTTTCAATTATTTGATCAATAATCTGTCTTTATTTTTTAATTAAATAATTTTATTACAATGAATATTTATGTTATTATTACGAAAAAGAACGACTATTATTCTTGATCCTAATTTCAAAATGAAAAAATTGTTGATTATTTCAGTTTATATTTTTTACAAAATAAATTTTAGAAGCTACTTGTTTTTTAATATTTTATGATATAATCAAAAACAAAATAATGTAATCTGCCAAGTACAAGAAAAAAAAAGAACATATTTAACACAATAATCATTCGAAAAAAGGATAGAGAAAGAATACAGTTTTCGTTATCAGTATAAAAAATAATATATACTACATACAATTGAAAAGTGCACACGAAAGAATAAGTCAAATCAAGATTCGGTCGTATCAGAAGAACAATCTATATTGATTAAAACAATTTTTCTTCAGAATAGAATTTCATTATAAACCTTTTCAGATCTTTGACTGTTAACTATAGTAACGTTGCAGAGGATCTCTACGATAGCTATCATAAACCAATAAAAAACAAATGAAAGTAAATAGGAAATAACCTGTAATGCAAAGAATTGTAGCTATATGCGAATAAAAACAAGTATATCGATAAACGACAACTAGAATACCGATGAGAATCAACAAACAAGTGATCCATGTACTATAGACGAGAGAAAATGTATAGTCTCTACTTAATGAAAGAAGTTCTCGAATAAGGTAAACCTGTAATACAAATAAAACTAATGGTAAGATTCGACTGATCCTAAGTTGCTGATCAGTGAGACAATGTTTCACTGAAATGATAGAGCAATGACAATGATCATATGATATACCACAATATAGATATAATTGAACTGATGTTACATTTGGCATCTGCAACATGAAAACCGATTTTTGAGATTTTTCCAGAATAGAGATATGCCCGTATTGCGTATACGCGACTATGACTATTACACAAGCATAAAAGGCAGCAGGCCAATCGTCTTGAGGGTCGAAATGAACAATTATTGGCATTTTGATATATTGTTGTGAACAAACTGATACAAGATGACGTTGTTTGTTTCCAATATTCTAAAGGATTTTCAGATAAAAATAGAAAGGTTACAATGAATTATCTAGAATAGATGGAATAGATCTTCAATAACAAATTGAATATATATATTATGCTGATAAAACATCAATTGGTCAAATCCTCAATACTTATAAAACCGAGATGAACTATATATGGTATAACAGTTAATTATGAACTATTGAATGAATATAAAACTAAAATTTTAATTTAATAAAGCATTTTGAATAAATCTAATCTTAAAGTACAGATTATTCATGCTAATGTATGACAAACTACGAAGAAAATGCAATAGAACAATGCATAACCACAGATATTTGATTTGATGAATGGAAGAATTGGCTAAATGGAACCACGAAGGTCACATTGACATGATAGATGTCATACTCAATGGGTATGACATCTCTCACGATAAGTAATATTGAACAATATCTATTAGATATTGTTCAATATTATTTGTCATGAGTCACTAAATAAAAGATATTGCAATATTTCTTCTTTCATTCTTATTATTAATGGATCTGAAACACTACAGATTATAATAGAAGTTTTTACTAGTAGAAACTCTTAGAGATACATGCATTTTACATTATGCTTTCATAGAACTGTATAATGAGGATTTTCCTAGAAATAACTAGTTAGTTAAAGAGTATGTTAGACAAAGAGATTTATTCACCTGTAAAATATTGTTGTTGAGTCAATCGATTTCTCGTCGGTGAAGTCAAGATTCTTAGCCGGCTGGTTAAAACAAATCAATCAGTTCCAACTCTGCACCATAATGACGACTCGTAAGAGAATGACATGATTATCAAATTTAAACTTGATATAAAAATCTAATCTAAATTTCTTTAAAATAATGAATAATTATCATGTTTGTCTTTACGATGAAAAGAAAGTAACGAACATTTCGTCATCGACTTGCTGAACTAACTGATTATTTTGTATTCTATCAAACATTGAAGTTTTTCTTTTATAACAAAAGAATTTAATGACTGTAGAATTACCAATAATTGAATAGAAACTTTTTGACGATGATGTAACATTTCGAAATATTCATTAATGTGCTTATAAGTAGATAAAATCGATAAACTAAATCAACGAACATGAAAATAATGCTTTTCTCATATGCTCCGATCAGCGTACAAACAGATTTATTTATTGATGAAGTAAACATTCACATTCTTTTACAATTTTACAAGAGATATTGAAATAATGTTAAGTTTTTGAAATATATCATGTTAGAATCTCTTAAACTAACGATATGAACATAGCAAGTATCAAAAACATATGTTGTTTTCGAAAGATGTCGACTGTAGTGGGACCTTCACATACATTAGTAAACAGAATTACTCAGGCATATAATCTCTTAATAAGAGCAGAACAATACTTGTAGAGAGATATGCATTTTCACGAGATTATTAAAATGTTGTCTTGACAACGAATCTGTGATAATAGAAGATCGCTACAAAAAGCAGGAATACAAAATATATAGCACTTCTTTTCACATCACTTGTTTTTCCATGAAACTTCACGTCATCTATTGGTTTCATTCTTTTTTTTATCTTCCTTTTATATTCTTCATTTTCTTCCAGTGCCACTAAAAAAGTTGGCCTTCCATATATAGAAAAGAATTTGTTTCCTAGTTTCTTTTATTATTTCAATTTCTCACTTCGTTCTTTCTATAATATCGACATTTGAGATATAAAATCATTTAAAGAACATAGAGTATAAACTACGAATTAGATAGATCTATTCATGTATGAAAATTATATTGTTTCTACTTACACATAATCCCTTAGAGAATACTTAACAGACTATCCCATGTAAAATAAATAGTTTTGACTAAGATTTTTTTTTGTTTTCATTTTATTCTTCTATATAGATGATTTAGAATCATGTCAAATTAAATTCTTCATGCATAAACGAAATATTTCACTAAAAGTAAGTTTCTTAATCATAGAACAGAAAAAAAGTTCCAGTCAAAGTGTAGTATCATTTGTGAATTAATTAATATTTGGAATATGACTAATGTAAAGACATGCCACAATATCACAGAAGTACTATTTTAATTCTTTATCTTCCCTGCAGTTGAATGTCTTTTGAAGCTTCTAAGTATTTTCACGACTAAATTTATCATTAAAATTGTCATGAATCCTTATCAATATATGTTCTATTTCATGTTTGGAACGATACTAAATATAACTGAATTTCTATTGATTAATGTAATTGAAAGATGTCGCCGGAAAAAAAAATCGAGGTTGATGCCAAGGTAATAACATTTTTATGGTAAAAATTGATTTCTTTTTTTTTCTAATCCATTCAGCCACGCAGATAGAAAAGAAAGAAACTTATGAAAAAACGAAAAAACTTTTAGGAATTTAATACAAGTTCAAAATGTCTGATTCAGAAGGTGAAGCATATGAAAAACAAGTAAAAATTGTTCTTGTTGGTGATGGTAGTTCAGGCAAGGTAAAATAAATAAATAAATAAATTCTTCTTCTTTTTTTTTGTTTTTTTATTATTTAAAAAAAACATATTCTAGACATCTATAACTGAACGATTCTCAAAAGATGCATTCAATCGTGATTATAATCAAACCTTAGGCATTGATTATTATTTAAAACGAATCAATTTAACTCGTAAATTAAATAAATTTTTTGTATTTTTATTAAATATTTACATTCATTTATATTAAGGTTCATATAATGTTACATTGGCGGTAAATGATGTAGGTGGACAAACATTAGGTGGTGCCATGTTAGATAAATATATATTTGGAGCAGATGTAAAATAAAAATATTAATTTAATTTATACATCTAAATTTTTATTTTTATTAGATTGTTTTACTTGTTTATGATATTACAAATTTACAAAGTTTTGAAAATCTTGAAGATTGGTATCTTACAGTGACGAAATATTGTGCTGGTAGAAAACCATTATTTGCACTTGTTGGCAATAAAAGTGAGCTTTTTTTTTTTTAATTAAATTTCTAATCAATTTTTTTTTTCTGAATGAATTAGAAAATTTTTTTGCATATTAAAAATAGAATTTCATTTTATTTAATTTATTTTAATATATGTATATTCCCCATTCTTATAAATTCTTTTTTTTTCTTATTTACTCCTGCGATAAAATGAAGCTCATGAAATTTTTATATTTACACTACATTATATATTTTATGATTAGAAAATATTTTATATTTTCATCTAGTAAAGTAATCTATGTTTTAAATAATTGAAAAATTTTGTTAGAAAAAACTAAAACAAGAACAAAGAAATTTTCAAAAACATGTATCTCAAAGAAATATTTTCTAAATTTAGGTGATCTTGAACATTTACGTGCGGTAAAAGCTGATAGACATCAACGTTTTGCTAAAGATCGTGATATGTTATCATATTTTGTATCAGCTAAAACCGGTGAATCTGTAGAAAATTTATTTCGTCAAGTAACAGCACATTTAATGCATATTGTTTTACCAAAACATGATTCTGATGGATCACGTATAATAACAGCACCAATTATCCGACAAGAACCAAATATTCCAGCAACACCTGTTAAATCCTCTTCATCAACAGGTACTACACGTACATCAATTTGTAGTTTACAATAAATAATATTGTGAAAAAAAAAAGAATGTCTTTGTAGTTGTGCAATTAAACTTGTGAATTCTCTATTGTAAAAAAAAAACTAAGACAGCAGAAAAATAAACGAATGCATGTCTGAAAATGTTTTGTTTTTTCTTCAAAGGAAATTTATACTTCTTGCTAATTGTATACCAAGGAAACTATTATCATTGTTAATAAAGTATAATTAACAGTTTATTTTTGTTATGATAAATGAAGACAAAATATATAGAATAGAATCATTTGATTATCATTCAACAACAAAATGAAAAGAATAATATATGACTTTTTCATAAAGATAGTTATAATTATTTTATTACATTTAACGAAAATATCTTTTTATTTTCTTTTTTGGAATCTCGTATGAATTTATTTTTATCATACTCTAGTTAACAAAATAAAATTTAATAAAAATAATTTATCATATATGTTAAATACTAAATAGAACTTGTTATTTTAGCCTAATAATTTTTTTTTGGTAAAGAATCAATACAATTTTTGTCGTAAGCTTTTATTGTTGTCATTATCAGCTTATCTTAAAACAAAAACTTTCATAATATTTTAATCTTGACACAGAGTTGAAAACTTATGATTTAAATATGATTGACATTCATATTATGAAATAATAATCAACGGAAAGCATTAGATAGACAACATTTTTTCTCTGGATTATTTTGTCATCTTCATATTTCAATATGAAATAAATTTTAACTACATTTTGCCGTAATCCATCATTCAGTTTTATAGAATGTTTCTTCGATTATTATCACCGCTTTATCAGATTACGAAAAATAGCGAATTTGATCGTTTATAATGCCACTTTCTTGGACCTGACCTGTCCTCTTTTTGTTATGAACATTTTCTCTTCATTGAAAACAAAATATCTGCATGATTTAAATAACGATATAATTTTATGTGAGCTTCATTCATGGTATTGAAATCAAAGGGCATCTGTCCCCTATTGCACAAAAATATGAAAATAATGATATTATATACCCTAGGGTCATCATTAATCGGATTTACGTTAAATCAAAAACAAGGTCAAAAACTTTCGAAAGACTGGTGAAGATCATTGATAAAAAATTTATTTACTCCATCGAACATTATTTTTCTAGTTTTAGTTACATTAATATGTTAAGTACAATTGAAAATATTGAATATGCATTGAATAATAATTGGATATTAAATATGTCTACTTTTAATAAAAATATTTTATTTTTATTTCATAATATAAACAATTTTCCTCTTCAATGCGTCTTCTCTTTTTGTTTTTTCCTTCCGCATTCTGATGCCTAAAATTTCTTCAAATTTTATTAAAATACGTCATAAACATTCCGAGATTATATTACACAAAATTAAAAATTAAACAATTCAGAATATATTCGTTTTGTTTTTCTGTTCTGATCAATAACTCTTTCTGTATATCATATATATGAGCATCTATCGTCAAAGAGCGACATCACTATTCCAACTTATATTTATGGTCCCACTAGGTTATCATAAAAGGCAATCAAAGATAGTAATATGTTTTCTCTTCTATTGTTATTATCTTTTTCTTACGCTTGGATAATTTTCTGATATTCTAATGGTTTGATAATGCCGGTTAATGGATATGATTTTAATGCCAATGATGAGACTAGGTATGCAAACAAGTAATAATTTATAATAATAATAATATTAATATTAATATTAGTATATTTATTATTTATTCATAAGTTGGTATTTTGGTCAACTATCTCGATCAGAAACAAATGATCTTTTACATGATCAAGAACCTGGAACATTTTTAGTTCGTGATTCAGCAACGTTAAAAGGAGATTTTGTACTTTGTGTTCGGTATGATTAAAAGATTTCATTAAAAGAAAAACAAAATATTCTTTTTTTTTGTTGTTGTATTAATTATAGAGAAGGTACTAAAACGATGCATTATATTATAAATAAAATTGAAGAAGATGGTGAAACACCACGTTATAAAATCGGAAGTAATTTTTTTGAAAATATGCCAGCACTTCTCCGTCATTATACAACACATTATCTTGATACTACGCAATTACTCAAACCAGTAATTTATCAAGAATTTTAACATAGTTTTTTTTTCTTGAATTTTGTTTTTTAAAATAGCTTTCAAAACCAAATACAATGTCAACAAATAATAATCGAAGAGACAGTATTTCATCTTTTATAACTAATGTTGATGTAAGTTTATTACGATCATTATTGTTAAAAGAATTATTTTATTCTAAATATTGAGTTAAAAGCTTGAGAATTCTATTTAATAATGAAGTTTTTAAAAATGAATAAATTTTGTTTTTGTGTGTCTTTAATATAAAATGCTCTTTAAATATTGATGAAATCAAAAAAAGAATATATATATATCAATGAACTAATTCTATTCATATTTGAAGTATTAAATATAAAATTAGAAATATTACGATCTTTCTTTTTTTTTATGGATTACTTCACCAACAAGAGAACCAATTAGGAGTCTTTTTTCGATACTTTAATCTTTCGAAGAGATTACCTTGAAGGCTATTGTATTAATTAATAATAATGACATTCATGATTTAAAATATTAAATAGTGAGACATATATCTAGAGCATAAAAATTGAGACCAAGCGTTAGAACACATTGAGTTTAATATTTTTCATACTTCATGAAAAATCAATGTTCGTTAAAAGTACTTTTTGAAATGTCTTGTATAGAAATCAAAATAATTATATTGAAAATGTTCTCATAAAAGATTGAAATATCGAGAAAGACTTAATTATTTAAGTATAAATTTTACCAGAGGAATAGTGTGACCTCTGTAATTAATATCTTGAATCTTATATTCTGTGGTTTCTAGTCTATGTAGAATTAATTTATTTGTTTCTTTGAATTATTTCGAGGTTAAGATTTGTAACGAATATATAAAAAACAAAATTTATATAACTGAATAACTATCTGAAATTATAGAATATTTATTTTGAAAAACAATCAATAAATAAATAATAAAAACATATACTAGTTTCTTTCTATTGATATAATTTCTTTTAGATATTTCTGTTTATTTCATTGTATCGAGAATTACAGTTTTTTTCTAATGATAAATAAAAACTATTATTCTAAAGAATTTCGTATATAAACATTGTAGATATATAAATGAATCAAAGTCTATATTCTATTTCTCTCTACAATAATAAAATTGTTGTCTGTCACGTTAGGATGATTTTGATCTTCTTCTCTAATTAAGACGAGCTTCAACAGTATGTGTTTAGGTTTTAAATTTTTTCTGTTATTAGTGAGAAAATAAAAATTTTCGGTCTAAAGAGAGAAATTCTACGGGAAGTTCAATCGTTTTTATCATTAGAAAAAGTGTGTTCGACATACCCATACTGAACAAAGGTTTGACTTTAAAATCATTGTAATATAACTATTATATTCAATTTCAGTTAGTGAATAAGAAAAAAATATATTTTAGAATGTTTGAACAGTAAAAATGTTAAAAAATTTAAATTAATCCTAAATAAACGATCTTTTGAGTATTTTGCAAATTCGCTCTCTTATAAGACGATAGAAAAAAAAAACCGAAATTCACATATTCATGACACATCACACTCAAATCGTTTTCATTCGAACTTTACATTCTAGTCAAACCTTATAAATATAATAAGTATATGTATTTTATAGACCAGTCTAAATGAAGAATCATCTAAAGTCGATAGTCCATCTCATCATCAACAAAAAGTAATATCTCAAGTAAGTCGAGTGTTTTTGTTTTTCTATAAGAAAATAAAAACATTTATTAAAAACAAAAAACGTTTCTTTTTTTATAGACAACACTTGTACTTCCAGCTAAAGCACGTGTTATTAAAGATCGTATTCCAAGTTTATATGATAAACGTTCATTACGTCTACAAATAGGTGATTTACTTATAGTAAATCGTGCTGAAAGTAATGGTCAATGTGAAGGTATATTAGTAAAATCCAATCGTCAAGGAACATTTCCATTTACATATGTTGAATTTCTCGATGATGAAAATGAACAAACAAATCAAGAATAATTATTATTTAATTCTATGTCTTGCATGATATTATGTATAAAATAAAAGCACGAAGATAAAATATCATATTCTTTTTTTTTTTTTTTTTGTTATATGTAATTTTCTTTCTAGTCAATACTCAATTGAATCAAAGAACCAAAAAAAAAAAGAAAAATAAATTTTTAAAATGTAGGATAGGCATTAGACTTTTTTATTTTAAAGTTTAGCATCAACATGAATAGCAATCATTGGATCTTCTTCACTATTAGATATTGTTACTTTTGTTCGTCCATCACCTCCAACAGTTATGACTTTGCCTGTGCATCGACCTTGTTCAAAATTGCCTGACATAATATCACAATATTGACCTTGTGGTAAACCAGTTTGTAACGATTGATCAAGACTATGATCATCATTATTAATAACAATAAAAGCTAAAAATTTATATTTGTTATTAATTGAGTAAACAAAACAACAACAAACTAAATGACTCTTTCTTACCTTTATTACCACGTGAAAAAGCAATTTGATTGTTACCATTGTCCCACCAATTTTGAACTGGTTGAAATCCTGCAGCATTACGAAAACGAGCCATATTATAAATTTGACGCCAACGATGTTCACATATCCATCCACCACCACAAGAAAGATCACTTTTATTTAAATTAATAAATAAATAAAAAGAATAACCTACGAGAATTAATGAGAATTGACTTACGCATTTATAATAACATTGTTGGTATTACCATTACCATTTGATGGTGGACCTTGAGCATCATTATTACGATTAAAGTTATAACTAGACATGATTACAGGATATCCTAAAAGAAAAATTATAATTTTATTACAAAAAAAAAAAAAAAAAAGAAAAGTAAATAAATAAAAAATTTACCATAAGGCCAAGCAAGCATAAATGCGGTAGCGATTTTGTAGAGACGACCATCGAAGAATGTCAAAATATCACCACCAGCACCTATTTTATGAATAAATAAAAAAATTAGTTCATAGTAAAAAAAAACAAACTCAAATCATATTTATTAATCTAACCATGTCCACGTTGATTATCATGATTGTCAACCATAATTTGCGCATCACCATCGGGAATCATTCCCCAACCTAAATAAAAACAAAACTAAAAATTCTTCTAATGAACAAAATCATTTATACCAGTTCCAAAGTTATTTAAATATTTAAGTTTTTGTCCAAATTTCTTTCGTACAACTTCACTTAAAAATTTTCCATAACGAAATTCAGATACACGACCCATCCATGTATAATCTGTATTCTTAATTGGTTCACCACCAAGATCAATAACTTCAAAATAAATAAATGGTCGTTTATTATTACCAAATGTCCTATAAAATAGAAGAATTTAAAAAAAAAACAAATGAAAAAGAATAATTTCAACAATATTATTTTACTGTGATGGTAAATTATTTAATTTGCCAATCAATTTATTTAAATCATTTGGCCACATATGTTTAGCAGCATCAATACGAAAACCAGCAACACCAATATTAATTAAACGATTCATAAATTCAACAATTTTATCCAAAACATAATCTTTTGATACTAATAAATCAGGTAAACCAACTAATTTACAGTTTCTCACCTGTATATATAAAATCTATGATAAAAACAACAAAAAAATCAACGAAAATAATATCATTTCACCTGATCAGGATCATTATAATTTTCAATATTTCCACTGCCTGTTTTACATAAAGAATCGCCAAAATCTGTTAAAGAAAAATTTTAATAAAAAAAACAAAAAATTTCTTTTCAATAAAATTTATCTTACCCCAAGCACTAAATGGTACACCAGGAAAATCTTTTGATCCAGGATTGTATGAAGTGCCTAAAAAAAACACAAAATCAAATTTAATCTAATCATCTAAAGAAAAATTATATTCATTTTCTAACCAGCAGATCCTTGATTTCCGCCTGCTGCCATATGGTTAATAACAGCATCAACATAAATACTTGAAAAATAAAACAATAAATAATAAATAAAAAAAAATTTCATTTGTTTTTCTAATCTTACCGAACACCAGCATTGTTACATCGATTAACCATATCAATAAATTCAGCTTCAGAACCACTTCTTGACTGTAATTTATAGCTTACAGGTTGATAACGTTGCCACCATGGACGACCATCAATAAGTGCATGTTCATTAGGTGGTGAAACCTATTCAAAAGCAAAGATTTCAAATAGAAATAAAAAAATTTTTTTTTTATAAGAAATTACTTGAACACCTGAAAATCCATAAGGTCCAAGAAATCGTTCACATTCATTTGCTATATCTGTCCATTTCCATTCAAATAAATGAACAGCAGTATGACGATTAGGGGCTGAATTTGGATCTTTTGTGGCATGAATATAATTTACCAAAAGGCATACGATTATTGGAATCACGAAAACAACCTGCATTTTGTTTGTTGCAAAGTAAAAAAAAAGTGACTGAATACAATATCATTTTTTTTGTTTCACTTTTTATAGTATCATTAGTAAATTGATGCTATTAATTTTGGAGAAACATCAATCAATGGATTTAAGTATAATGAATATTCAGCACAATATTTTAGAGCATCAACGAACAAAATAACGTACGTCATGTGGTAAGATTAAATTAAATATGAGAAAAGAAAATTGAAACGAGTTTTATTTTTCAATACAAAAATGATTTTTTTTTTCAGTATTGTTTTTTTGGATATTCGATACAATAAAAAAAAATCAACTTAGAAGTTTCATCTATATAATGACAAAATTGCAAAATTTATCTGATAGAGAGTAAGAAATAATATCAATGCAGATATTATATTTCATACATTGTTATTGTGCACTATATCAATAATATAAATCTAATTATTTTTTGTTACATGTTTTGCTTGTCACAAAAAGCAAAATCGACAATATCTCTTCAATATTATTTTGCGTTTAAGAAATATTTTCAATCGATGAAATTGTGTACTTTTTATTCATGGAAAATTTAAAAAATCTGTTTGTGTACATTATTCAACATACTTTCAAGAAAGAAGATTGTTTGGAAATGAATAGATTGAAGTATAGCAGTAAGACATTGAGAATTTGGTAGATAATGATTCCAAATTTAATCTATACACGACAAAAAAAAAACAAGAGGGACCGAATTGAATTTTGTATAATAATCGAATGATCGTTTCAAGTAACCAATCGAAAATTCTGTTTAATATATTCTTCTATCTTACATTTGTCTATAGTGGTATAACTAAAGAGAACTAGAAGACTGACGAGGAAACCTCTCTAGATGGCAAATTGCTTTTCGACCGAGACAATATTCATTTGATGAATAATAGAAAAATCTAGAATGGTTTGGTGTTTTCCAAGCCTTCATATTCTTGAGATATGGAAATTTTACTGGGCTTTTCAATAAAAAGCTGTGGCTCTCCTCAAGTCTCATAGAAAATCTAAGTTCGAGTTTCGACTTCAAATTTTGCATGAACAAAGTTCTTAATGGGATTAATTCATTGGGCAAGTTCTAACTGTTCTAGTTTCTCCTATTCAAAGATATTCAATATTCAAAATTGTCACACGTATAACAGTAAATTTTGTTCATACAATAACATCTTCAGAAAGGATATACTAGAAAAACTAAAACTTACCCAATGAACTAAACCCATTGAGAACTTTGTTCGTACAAAATTTAAAATCGAAACTCGAAAGTCGATTTTCCACGTGAACTAAGGAGGATCACAGCTTTTTGTTGAAAAACTCAGTAAAATTTTCATATATTGAGAATGAAGGTCCGGAAAATCTAATCATTCTAGATGTTTCTATTACTCGCCTTCCTACCGGAGCTTTGAGTCTTCCACCGATCACAGCTATGCCATCTAAACTCCGCTACAGATCTCTCCGTCAGACAAAGCTCAGTTATCTGAACTTCTCTCTCCACCGGAGAGTTAGATCATGTTAAACCGATCTCCCACTGCTAAAATCTTTATTACGTCATTACTTTTCTAAAGAATCCTATATCCATTTTTGTTTTATTAGCATACATTTTTCTTGTTTTTATAATGCTTGTTTTTCGTAATATTTTATTAAATACATGTTCTTGTTTATTGCTGTTGATGTACGTCTTATAATTCGAAAGTGCATTTGATTGAAAACTAGAAATTGTAATCTTTGAAATATGAGCAATAATAAAGCAAAAGAATATTTTTAGTACTCATTTAACTTTCAATAAAACCTTAATAAAATAAATGAAAATTTGAAATTAATACAGTGGCTTCCTACGTTATTTTTTTACACTTCTATAAATGCTAATTAGAATCCAAATAGCAATTTATGTAGAGAATTTTATTTCTAACAAGAATTTTAGAACATGGAACAAAAGATTGCTAGTTTTCCAAGGATAGAGTCTCTGAAAAACCAAAACTCAAGTTCTTCGTTTCCTGAAATTTTATTTGAATCATCCAGGATGATAGAGCAAACAATTTTCTACACAACGTACTGCCTTTCAGCTCTTTACAACGGTTTTTTCACCGAGATAAATCAGTCTCATGGAAGGCACAAAAATAATGTTTCTATACGAAATTAGCAGAAAAAAGGCTATTGTACCTTCTTTAAGATTGATGTATCTAAAACAAAAAAACCGTCATAGACAGCTGAAAAATGTTTCATTTTTTTTAGAGAATCATTTGCTCTATCATTCTGAATAATTCAAATAGAGTTTCAAGCGATGAAAAACTGAAGTTTGGAGTTTTTTAGAGACTCTATCTTTGGAAGATTAACCATTCTTTTCATATTCAAAAATTCTTGTTGGAAATAAAACTCTCTACAGAAACCATTATTCGGATTCTTCTTAGTGTTTATGGCAATAAAAAAAAATTGAAAATAAGCTTCATCGAATAATTTTTCGGGCCATTGTATGTTAATTTGGTGATTGATCGATCAATTTTCTTTATTTAATTGAATAGTGCAATATTATTACGACTATGATTTTCTACTTTTACAATTACTAAACACTATGAAACACAACGTAAGAACGATGTTGAGTTTAAAAACAAAAAAAAAAAAAAATTCGATTTAATGATTAGTTGACTTGAAACATAAGAACTCAATGTTGTGTCAATGATTAAAACAATTCTCTAAGCTTTTTCTATTAAGAAACAATAATATATTCTTTTTCCTACTTATTTTGATTAATTCATCAGACATATTCATTGATAAATTTATGCTAGTGTCTGTCATGTCCCATATGAACAAGAGTTGTTCTTTTCACTATTTTATATATATATACACATCCAATAGCAAATGAGAAAATCTTCATCTTTTCTCAATCAATCATCAATGTAGTTCATGTATGAACCATCAAACTAATAATATGAATTTAACGTAATGAGTTGTTTTCTACTCAATCAATTCTTTCTTTTTATTCTTTTCATAATATAACACATTAGACAATTAATCAAAAATTATTTAAAATGGAATATTTAAAGAGATTATTAAATTTTATAGCAAAAAAAAAAAAAAGACTAAACATTTGAAAATTTATTTCTTAGAAAAATTTTTCTTTACAATACATCATTTATTCGATTTTGTTTTTTTAAACAAGAAAAAAAAATCAAGTAGCTATCCATTAAATATGGCATCAGGTGTATGCAAGAAAAATACTTGTATATGCGTGTCTCAGCTTGGTGTCTATCTCTCCAGGAGTGCATCTATACCGTTGATGAAATTGAATATACGAAAGCGAATTGACACTGATTCGATTGCGTGTATTGATACTAGTGTTAGTCATCATCGGAAGTGATAACTATAGTGAAAACACAGCAAGAAATCATCTCCTGTCTGGACAATACAGTTCCGTTGATGACACCATCTACACCTGCCTATCGAAATAAATATTGTCGCCATCACTCAGCAGTAAGTCGAAATCGTTTTTCTTGTATTCTCATTTGTTGTGTGACTACAGCAAATTATCATCATCATTGTCGAGACCTGTATGTAAATAGTTCAAGACAATCAAAATTAATCAATTTCTTCTCTTCATTGCCGCTCACTCAATATATATATATGTATATACATATATACAAAAACGCCTACCTCATCAAAACTAGTGGAACAAAAAGAAAGAGAAGCACGACATCCGTCGTTTTTCTTTTCAATACAATACAACTGGTGTACATTCTTAAGTTTGAAGAGCAATTCATTAGATTTCTTTTTTTTTTTGTGTGTGTGTATTTAATACAATTGGATCAAACATAGTTGTAAAATGTACTCTTAACTTAAGCATGTGAAAACGGAGATGAATAGTGACACACACACACACATACACACATATATACAGGCACACCGATATCTACATCATAACTGTAAAAAGAAAATTTTAAGACAGATGTGGTCATCGAAAGTATGATGAAAATTGATCACACCTTTATTTAGTGCGAGACACATTGCAAGATTGACATGGAGTGTTCATTTTTCCGGAGTTTGACATTAAAACGGAATTGTGCTTGTCTTCTTATTTTGAAAAAGAAAAAAATTTTTTTTTTCTTTTTTTCAACAAATAGAACCTTGGATATATTTGAATACAAAATATGAAAGAGAACTTGTGCATTCTAAAGTGGCCATCTTAACGTTCGGCAACTTTATACTTATAAGATAATTTGATCAGACTAACATCCGCATGCATAGAGATCATCAGGCTTTTGTTCGCATTCTTTTTCTTTTCTATCAAATTGGGTTGATTCAACATTCTTTGCGTGTGTATGTGTATGAGGGACTCCCGATGAGACGTTAATATCATTTAGTTAGAAAAGAATGAGCATATTTGTCTTTCAGCTATTTAATAGTAACGGCAAAGACTATAATGTCGTTAGTGGCGGCAAATATGATGTTGTGATTCGTAGAAAAAAAAACAAGAAAAAGATGATGACATGTCCCTCCTGGTTAGAATTTGAATTAATAAACCTTTTCTTTTTCTTTTACGCTTTTCACATTGCGTGACTTATAATTTTCTTGTCGATTTACTTTTACTATGCAATTGCAATGATAGTCATCTCATTTTTTTTTTCTTTTCCATATAGAATTTAAGTCAAAGTGAATCATGAATAAAATATGATGGTGTAAGAATCATGCTTTTTCGATCAATTAACAGTTAATATTCGATAAGAATGTTTCACACAATAGATTTTTGTCTTCATATATATATATATATGTATATATATGATGATGGTGATAGTATTGGTGATGATGATAATGAAAAAAAAAGAAAATTGGTAGGACATAGGGCATGCATTTGCAAAGTGACATATTTGATTAGACTCTTGATGAATCAAAAGATACGAAAAGAGCACTTTGCTTGGTGTACATCCGTAAATCAATGATGTAAAATCAATCGAGCGTATTATAAGCAAATGAAAGGTTGCCAGAAAAGAAAAAGTAATTAA